CTTTTATTTAAATATATAATATTTTTTTAAGAAATGACTCTGTGACAATATGACTCTAAATATGATCATATTATATATTTGTATAATATATAATATGATCTCAAACTAAATAATTATGTTTTTTGGTATAAAATTGAATAAACTGAAAACCGATGGTATATAAACCAAATCAAATTGAAGTACATATAGATTTAGAATATTAGTTATATTTTAATGATCGAAATACCAAAAAATCGAGCCGAACCGAAACCCGATATCCGGATTGAACACCTCTAATCTAAATGAAACCGAACTATTGTTTCATTTTTTAAAACATAATAAAAATAATAGCTTCGTCCCGCACAAGGCGCGGGTCTTATCCTAGTTACTTATATAAAAGTATTACATAAAAAGAGATAAAATATTTTTGACAATTATATTTTTTTCTTAAATTTTGTGTTATTATAATTGTAACTTAAACTTTAAAAAATTACAAAATCTATAAATTCACTAGTTCTTTTAAGTTTTATTTTATATATCATGCAAAAAAATATTTTTGCAAAGCAAATTTGTATCAAAATCTTAAGATTATTTGTACTAATTAAAATGGATGAGATATCCGTAAATATTCGTAAATATCCGCAAATATCTATTTATTTTCCGGATATCCGTTTTTCCGGATATCCGTATTTTTTCGAAGCAAAGCAAATACCAAAATTAGATATCAGTAACATTCAAAGCAAATCACAAATACCTTAAAAACCCGGATATCCGATCCGTGCCCACCCCTATAAGTAACAACATTTGTACTTCTACATAAAAGTTAATTGTGTATGGGATGAACGTGAACCAGTTTTTAACTACGAGATCAATGGTTAGGTAAGTTTGTGCGTTCAATGTTTCAATATGAAATGGTCTTACAATATATGGTAAAAAATAATTATTAGAAACCATCAATATTACTATGGCTCCCTAAACGAAACAAAAATAGAATGAATAGATTGGAACACGAGTTCAGCTTGAAAGCCATGAGATTGAGAGCTAACATTGTCCCTCCCACATGAACTTGTCTTTTCTTATTTCTATTTTATATCTTTATTTCTCCAGATTAAAAATATATGGTCGTGAAACTTTATTATAACGTCCGATCTTTTTTTACCGTCCATAATTTCTTGCCTATGTTATACGTACGGACATAGTCAGAAGTCAGCCCGCGAGCCTAAAGCATTTGAAGTACTTGATACAAATAATTTGTATAAAAATATAATCCACATACATGTATATTATAGATACTGCAACATTTTCTAGTGTGGTAATTCGAGTACCATAATTCAATAATGAAGACATAATTCAGATGAGTATGAATATGTAACTACTTAATTTTTAGCAAACAAAATCTAATGAAGTTTACAAAAAAAAACAGAATAATCGAGAAAATAGAAAATAAACAAAGTTGTGACATTTTCGAAATTAAAATATAAAAGAACATGACACGTGGGTTTACAAGCCCATGCTATTATAAATCAGGCCATCATGTATCCGGAATACTACCATTCAAAACGAAACCATTGATTGGATTTTGCTGATAGCGCAAAAGATCTGAGAAAGAGAGAAAAATAAAACACCCAAAAGTTCATTAAGTATTTATAAACAGTTTAAAATGAAGTCGACCGTCGTGATCCTCCTCACGTACCTTCTCCTCGCTGCTCCTTGCTTCGCTTTAGGTAAGTTTTGTTCTTTGTTTTAAAAACAATCAGTAGTGTGGCTTTATTATTCATTTTCTTACTTCTTTGTACCTTCAAATTATACTTAAGGATCAGAAAAAATGGATTCGGATGTATACGAGATCGATTACAGGGGACCGGAGACTCATAACTCTAGACCTCCGCCAGAGACTTTGCACGGCAAGCGACCTTTCATCCACCATAAAACCTCTGCAGCTGGATCCGTCGGCGCTCATGCTGGAGGACAGAGTAAGATGCATTACTCATTAATACATTTATGGCATTTAGTTAATTAACCTTAGTAAGTAAGTATACTTATGATCCGAGGAATGGTGACTAAACATACGCAGTTTGATAATCATATTAATTAATGACAAGGTTTAACATGCTAGTATTTTAGTATAATATAATCATATAATTTATGTTTTCTTGTATGAATATATATTTATTGTCTTTAATTTAATATAACTTCCTTCCCCATTTATCAGACTAGAAAGAGATTTTTTTCAAGGAAGAGGAGAGAGACTAATTGAAGCTGTAAGTGAAGGAGGAAGTATATGAGTTTGTGATAAGATTAATGATGCAAGTACATAATTATTTATACATTAATACATGTTTAATCATATGATCATCGATGTTATCATGTCCGGTATTTTCTTCATGTACCGTTCTATCTTTTTATTTTTATTATTTTTGGGTCTGAATCTCTTGGAAGGAAACTAAAATTAATTCCGGGTAATGTGTCGCCATATGAATATCAATGTCATTCTCAGATCTTTGAATCATTGTCTATTCGGTTGGGGCTTATCATGGGCAAAAAATATGGATAAATACGAGAAAACGATTTGTAATATATACAAGTGTTTTAGTCTATATAATTATTAAATGTCTTAGATACTAGATTACAAATAATAATCTTACTATAGACCACATCAAAATAGATGTACTACAATACATTGTATATATGTATGTATCTTGATCAAATGGCATTATAGCATATGATAGATCCCCCAAGCATTCATTCATTGGTGCAGGAAGTACAGAAAACACTTTTCATTGACGACGTTTTTTGTTGCTCTCTATGATTTTGTTGCAGTTGTAAATGAAATGAAATTTCTATATATAATTGTTAGTAAAATAGTAGAATATGATATCAACACTAGAATTTAATACATGTGATCACATCGAGTAATATAAGACATTGGATCCGCGGGATCCACTTTATGACAAGTGAACCAACCGCTTAATCACGACCTCAATCATTTCGTTTTAAAATTGGACCAGTGTACTATCAGAAGGTCATAACCAAACCGAGTCTCTCATATCACAGGAAACTTTAGGCTCTATGATTAATTTGTAATGTATAATTATGTAATTTATGCTCAAATAATTTTGTAAACACGAATTTTTAAAGGCACAAAACAAATGTTCAAGAAGACAAAAAAGATGGACGAAACAAAATAAAAGCATCAATCGTTAGACATCTAGACAGATTACCATTCGCGAATATAATTAAAAGTCGATGTCATATATTCTGTCGTTTTAGCTTTCTAAATAACAGTGTGTATTAGATGAAATGAGATTGAACAGAAATGATCAGAGCTCACACTCTTGTGGGAAAGAAGAAGAAGATGAACTCAAGATAGGAAAATGAATAATGTTTCTGTTAATCGTAAATGAAGAAGATACAAGTGTATATATGCATCATAAGCTATTCGGTTTATACCGGTTCTAACCAACCAAACCACAAACCAACTATACATACTCTAATACAGTGTCTTTATAAAATCGTGCCAGCTTCTTTGGCGTTCAAGCTTTAGATCCATTTGAAAGCCAAAAACAAAGCAAAAGTTTTAGATCTCTTTTTCATTTGGTAATTCTTGTGAGCTTATAAGTTCACGTTTGGTTAGTATAGGTGATAATTTTCTAAAACTGCAGTTGTGCTACTAGAAAACATAGAGCTATCCATACTAAAATAAAAAATTAGATCTATTTATCAGGAAAACAAAATGAAGATTCATAAGTTATAATGTAAGACAATCTGTTATGTGTTATTGGATTTAGGGTCGGAAAAACGAAAAATGTTATGGATTTAGGCTAAAACCATTCTAGCCCATAAGTAGATTTCGAGGAATGTGTCTTATTAAGGGGCCTTGTGAGTTGTGAGTTGTGGCGAGAAATTATTTTGGTCTTTGGGCGTCATGAGTCGACTATTATTATTTTTGGGTTATTGATCTTTTTATCTTACTATCACGTGAATATTAAACCCAAAAACACTGCAAAACAACAAATTTGCAGTAATGTCGAAACTGATAAATTCCTCGGAATAGAAAGATAAAATATTTCCATGCAGCTATGTAATATGTCTATCGTTTTGTTTGAACTAATGCTTTTTTCTTTATAATGATGAGCCGTCTAACGTATTTCTGTATTGACCGGGTGAGTTTTTATAATAAGACCGGCATCCATATTCAAATAGAGTTGTTACAAAAGTAATAATTAACAAGATACAAGTGGAATCATAATATAAAGTTTATACAACAATACTAATACCCATTTTATAATGTTTTTATAAATATACTAGTCAAGCTCTCTTTTTTTGAACTGTACTAGTCAAACTCTCTTTTTGACAGCCTTACGTAAAATTCTAAGTAGAAATATCGAGATAAATACGACTAATATTGATTTTTATTTTATTTACGTTAACTCTTCAGTTAGTTTTTGAAAGACAAGTTTTAAACGATTTTTTTCATAATCGATCTCGGAAACCATTAGATCAAGACCCATATAGTAGAAAACTACAGTGATACAGATTATATTTTGAGTTCTGAAATTTACGGTTGAACCTAAAAAATTACGTATTGACTATTAACAACTTAAAATGAGATTTGTTTAATCGTATACACAAGCTTTGGATGCCGAAAAGGAATATGAAAGCATCCAGTGGATCAAAAGAAGGCAAACAGAAAAAGCCAAAAGAGAGGTTGAGTTGCATTATTTATGGAATTTTTAATGTAATCTAATCTATAAGAATATGTATAACTATTGTACTACTTGTTCATTTTATGTTACAGTTGAAGAATAAGTATTCAAAATGAATACTACCGTAGATCTTCATATACTTTTTTTGTCAAACATTTTTTCGCCAAATTAAAAACCAAACCTTGATATAATTAATGCCTAATGTTTTTGATGCATTGTGGAACTCCCGATAAGTGTTGATGCCACACAATTTGAAACTTGCATTCACCCAAAACGAATTATATAAAATAATCATACCTTCGACATGATATGTGATTTCAATCCATTTACCAACAAAATTTATTTAAATGAGTTGAAAAGTAAGTATATAGCAAATCACACCTTCATATATTCAACGTTTAATTTTAACAATTTAAAATGTTTTATTAAATATCAAAACTGAAACGGAAATCAAGTTAGGTAAAAAAGGGGTTTTAAAACGTGTAATACAGTCAAATGTATTAAACCAGCTTAAGCAAATCCTAGAAGACCATCCCTATATTAGACTTTGATCTAAATCTAAAGACTGCAAGTGAAAGCTCTTCCTGTTATCATGATGCTCATGAACTTCTATATGACTGGAGATTGATGATAAAAAGAAAAAATTAAAATTGATAAAATGGATGATGTTTAGTAATAGAAGAAGAGGAAGAATCATAGCTTCAAGAGAGTGTCCCACAGACAGAGAGACATGCGTCACGGACTGTCCTGTCGTCTTCCTCGGGAATGCCAAAGATCCTCTCTCTCACACAGTACAAAACAACATGTAACATGTTATGTTTAGTCCGACTCTATCATTATGCCTTAATCATTTCTTTCGATCTATTTCCTTAAAGGCAATTCTCTTTTCCTCCCACTTTCTAGATATCGCAAACCAAAAGAAGAAGAAAGTTTAATCAAAAATTAAAAAGAAGGAAAGGAAGATCAAATCTTGTATCAGTTTATAAGAAGAAAGGTTTTAGTTCACTCAAGAAATCAAAAAGTTTTATTTTCTCCTCTTTTATGTTCAAATTTATAGCAAAAAAAAAACAAAATCCACCTGTGAATGAACCATGTTCTACTTCTAGCAAGACTAAGTTTATTTATCAAAAAAAAAAAAAGGAAGACTAAGTTATAATTCCGTCTCACGTAACTACACGTTTCACTACGTGAAGTAGTACTGTATCATTTGATCGATGTATTAATTTATTTTTGACAATAATCAATAGATCTTAGATTTAGTGTCAATATATCGATCGATACCACATTTTGACTTGGCTGTACACTTAATTACATTCTAATCTTAAATCACATTTAGAAAAACTACCTACATCACTTTTCTTGGTGTATACATGTCACTGAATCATTATTTTACATTTCCAGTTTTAAAATGTTAGTACAGAAAATATTTTAAAGGAAATACAAATTACTAAAAGACTTTTTTGAGTTCCTAAAACTTTTTGAGAGTCAAAGATAGTGCGAACGGAACTTTTTGCATCTACCTATATGATTTGTTCTTGGGACACATGACATTTTCCTCTGCCAAATACAAATTGTTGATGCATACAACTTTCACATTATAATAGGTATAGGAGTTAAAACTGTGTCCACTTAAATTTATATATAGGTCCAAGACATAGCAACTACATATTAACCTTTTGACCCAAAAAAACTACATATTAACCTTTCGTTTTTTCATATAACGTGTGGCATTGGAAACTAACTCTATCATTGATGTTAAACTCTATTGCTGTGTCCAATCTTTTTATGAATTTGACACCGTTAATAAAGCATACTCGACAGAGCAACTGTGTTACCATGCAAACAGTTATTATCATATACTGTATAAGAAAATGATCCAGACTTGAATAGGTATATTTAATTTATTTATGCGAACATCTATAGAGACAGTATAAAGAGTATTTTAAATCACTTGTTATATTTATATTACTTATAATTGATGAAGAAATTACATTCTCAAAATACCCACTAAATAGATAAATTTGTCTTTAAACTACAAAAATTAATTATTAATATACTATATGAGTTGATTATTAATGCAATGAATAAATCCGAAATATCCATCGTTCTATCAACAATTAAACATTCAGTAACTATTTAACAACTTTCACAGAGCAACGTTATAGAAATATCAATGTAGTAGACTTCCCTTTTATATTTTTTTTCTCCCAACCTTTTAACATAGCATAGATGTACACATGCACGTGTGGCTATGTAACTGCGAGAAAGGAAGAGACTACCTTTTTGAAGAAATTACTAGCTAGTATTATTTACTGAAAACCTTCACTTTCCCTTTTGAAAAATAATCATAAATAGACTAAACCAAGAGAAAAGGTAGATCTATACAAGAACATCTCCCAGATCTCTCATCATTATTTTACGGAAAAAATATTAATGTGTTAGTTACTTTTTAAAATATAAAATCAATATAATCTTTATATATAGATATAGTTTCGTGCCTTGAAAATTTATTCATCATCTTCTTTGGTCTTTTCTTGTCATTTGGCATAACCAAAGAGTCAAGCACATTCAAACATTCTCAAGCCCTAAAACCCAAAAGAAACTTATATGCTCTTTGTTCTCCTCTACAAATTAAACCCTAATTAACTATCTTTTTTGTTTGTATACTGTTCTAAATCACCTGATCACCTTCTTGTTTTCTTGCAAGATTTTATAAACAAAAAATAAACCCCCCAGTTCTTGTTCTTTAGCGCTTACAAAAAAGTATGCATATGATTCCAGGAGATCCTTTTTCTGTAGCATCTTCCATGGGAGGGTTTGTCCATCAAGAACAGCACCTTCATCATCTTCAGCAGCATATGCCTGACCTTAACCCTAATTCTAACCCAAACCCTAATGCTAAACCAAATTCTTCATCAGCCAAGAAGAAGAGAAATCAACCTGGCACCCCAGGTATATATGATTCACTACATTACACGCTGGGGTATATATAAATACCTATATGCTTGTGCTGTAGAAAGCTCTCTCTCTCTCTCTCTTATATATATATATATATATATATATATGCAAATGCATCTTCCATATATTTCATTATTTGGTTATACTTGTTATATATCCGGATGGCTTTACATCATGTGTTTCTTTGAAAGAGCAAATTAAATATACGTTACAAAAGATAAGGATACATTGTAGTCATACATATGGACAGATCCAGATGCGGATGTCATCGCTCTATCGCCAACAACCCTCATGGCGACAAACAGATTCGTCTGCGAGATCTGCAACAAAGGGTTTCAAAGGGACCAAAACTTGCAACTCCATCGCCGTGGCCACAACCTTCCATGGAAGCTGAAGCAACGGTCCAACAAAGAGGTGATAAAGAAGAAAGTATACATATGTCCTATCAAAACTTGTGTTCACCATGATGCCTCTAGGGCCCTTGGAGACCTCACTGGGATAAAGAAACACTATAGCCGCAAGCATGGCGAAAAGAAGTTTAAGTGCGATAAATGTTCTAAGAAATATGCTGTTCAATCTGATTGGAAGGCTCACGCGAAAACTTGTGGCACTCGTGAGTATAAGTGCGACTGTGGCACGTTGTTCTCAAGGTATTACATGTGATCATTTATAAAAAAAAATTTTTGGTAATCATGTGATCATTTATTTACCAGATGAAAAAAACATTTGATTGTTTGATGCTAGAAGTTAAGAATTAGAACTGGTCTTTTATAGCAAATATCGGATGACAACAAGGCATACATTAATGTCAAGGTGTTAGAAACTAAGAAATTTTTGTGAAAAAACTAAATAATACAGATATAGATGTATTCTGATATATAGCTATAGTGATCGATATAAATGTGTGTGCAGTGTTTTGTGATTGTACACTGCTGAGGAGTCTGATTAGAGCGCAGGGCATTAATTGAATAGTTTCAGACTATTGGGAAGCACTATTTTTATTTAAGTTCAAGATTTAGAAAAAGCTGCAATTTTTATGAGTATGATATTCGATGAGATTTTTGATGGTATGAGCATCAATTTATTTTGTGTGTTTGTATGTGTACATGTCTATTTGTCTTCTCTCGTTTAGTTTCTTCTATTCACGCGATATGACTATGAATTATAAATTTATACATATACATTATTAACACAACCACTTATATAGTATGAGTTTTACAGTGTTTTATTTTAATAATTAAGCTTATTGTTTGTATCTGTCTTTTTTTTTTTTTGGGATCAAATTTTTAGTTTCTTCTGCATAGGAGAAATAAATGATTCATCCGGCCAAGAATGTTTTCTTTTGCAAATGAGTTCAAATTCAATACTACAGTATGTTTGATAATTAATGCCCTCGTCTAGCTTCTTGAATTAATTATAATAATAATTATTATTATTTCAAATCATGTAAAACCTAAAACGTCTTCTATTATAGGAAAGATAGTTTCATCACGCATAGAGCGTTCTGCGATGCATTGACAGAAGAAGGTGCGAGAATGAGTTCACTTAGTAATCCGGCGATCTCTACAACAACCAATCTTAATTTTGGAAATGACTCACATGTCATGGATAATTTAAACCTTCCACAAGGATTTGTCCACCGAGGGGTTCATCATCCTGACATTAATGCTGCTATCTCTCAGTTCGGTTTAGGGTTCGGACATGTCCCAAATTCAATTCATGCGCAAGGTAAATTTATATCATGACAATCATCTACCTACTTAAACATTACAAATTATACTATTTTTAACATTACAAATTATACTATTTTTTTATAATTTTTCCATTTTTTACATCAACTCCGTGTAGGTTTATCCGAGATGGTACAAATGGCCTCCACCGGGAGCCACCACCTCTTCCCGTTGCCTTCATCATCATCCCTCCCTGATTTCACAGGCCACCACCACAACCAACAATTCCAAATTCCCACGACTTCTACAAACCCTAATCTCAGCTTATCATCATCACAACAAACCTCAGCTTCACTACCATCATTGCATCTACAACACCAAACCGTGAAAGACTCTTCTTTCTCCCCAATCTTCTCGTCCGAGTGCAAACAAAACAAGTCACTCTCTCCAATGTCTGCCACTGCACTCTTACAAAAAGCTGCACAAATGGGATCCACTAGAAGCAACTCCACCACCGCTCCGTCCTTCTTCGCCGGCCCAACAATAACGTCATCCCCATCCGCCGCTTCTCCTCCTCGTTCATCTTCTCCAATGATGATCCAACAACAACTCAGCAACAACTTCAACACCAATGTCTCAAGAGAGAACCAGAATCTTGCTCCTCCTATCAGTGGTCTAACCACGAATAATGTGGATAATAATAATAATTCATTTCAATCAAACCGGTCAGGTCTTAACCCGGCTCAACAGATGGGCTTAACCCGGGATTTTCTTGGAGTGAGCAACGACCATCACCATCACCAAACGGGCCACCGTCCCTTTTTGCCACAAGAACTCGCAAGGTTTGCTCCACTGGGTTAATTAGATACGATGTTACTACTATAGAATGTGGGCAGGGATCAAGAGAAAGATGGGGGGAGGGGACAAATTTTTTGGGTTTGTTTAGGATTGGAAGTTTCTTTGAGGAGACAAGTCTAAGAACCGCACCCCTTGTGAAGGGGTTGGAGTGTGGGGACAAAGGTTGACAAGACATATATCCATCATACTATGAATCTACATTAAATGCTTTGTACTTTTACTATGCTTATGATGATGATCATCATATATTTATACCATGACATGCATGTATCTTGTGACATTGACGCTTTGTAAATGCTATTTCTTTTTGGTCATTACAACTTATGGGATATACAAGAATCTGGTCCGTATAATAGAGAAAGTAGAAAAATAGATAAAAGCTAAACGACATTGTTAAAATTTCCTTTTCAATTGGTACTTGATCCAAACCCAAGTTCTCAAGATGTGAGTCAACGTTCCTTTGGATTCTGCATAAACTAAATAGAATATTTGTAGCTGATATCATCAGCTACTACGTATTTTCAGCAGACCTGTAGCCCTTGTCTCTATTTTGATTTATCTCTAACCTCCACACGAGATATAAAATATGAAATATGTCGTTTTGTGGATCCATGCATTATTCCTTTTTATTATCAAAGGCAACCACAATATAAAACCGCAAAAGTTTAAATATGTATAACTAATGATGTTACCTCATCTCACCATTTACTAGTCATAAGTACATTAACCATAGGCTAGAAATGTGGGTATTCGTATTTAAGACCCGATTCTTAATTTTTTTAGTTAAAAGTTAAAAGACAATTTCTTAATATTCCATTAAGAACCTCACTTTAAAATTTTCCATTAAACATGTTTTTAGCTGCTAGTGTGAGTCTATGAGTGAAAAAGCCTCTAAAGAGCTTCTTCTTGTGCTCTCAACTTTAAGATAAAGATAAATCTTTATGGTGTTATTTTCACTGATTTTTCTTTGGTCAACCTTTTAACTGCCACAAATTTTTACAAGCCCAAATAAACTACTTTTGGGCTATATATCTATTTATATAAAGTAGAGTTTTCTCTACTTTGATGTTGCGACGTTACTAATTGGATAAAGCTGAGAGTAACACGTGTCCAATTCTAAACATAGAAATGTGTTTGGTTTTGTAATGGGTTTTTAAAGCTTTGCATCACATTTATTGGACTGAAATATACATAATCATAGCCCATTAGCCGTCTTCGTTTTCTTAACGTGTAGCCGCCATGCCGCCACTAGAGAGCTAGGATTCATCGTCTCATGCAAATCCAATTATGTCTACGAACATGGAGTTTCTGAGAAGGTTGTGAGAGAGAGGCTTCATGAGTACTATCTGGGTCGATGTTGATTCGTCCCGTTTCATTATCGACTCTTCGCCACACAAGCGTTTCATGTAGCATTGGTTCAACCACGATCACTCTTTAAATGATTCTTATCCCTCATCCAGGCGGGATCTCGACCTATATAAAGAAGATTAGATTTAATCCCTTTCAAACTCATCCCCGATATTCCTAATAACAGTGGAAACCTTTTTCACATTATTATCCACATTTAGATCCAGTTCAGTCATTGAAACCAGACTACAAGAAGAGAAAGTTGATCCCACTTGGAAGTGGCAAGGAGTCTCCAGCTTTGTTATCTCATACAATTTCCAATTCAAAGATTTTTTTATTTCACAATCTCTCTCTCTCTTTCCTCTGACAATAAGAAAATCTTCTTCTTTGTTTATGATATGTTGGTTGTTGCATTATGTGTCTCTAAACGCATTAATATTTCTGATTTTGGACTGGCAGTGGAGGTTAATCTGAGTTCACATTTATAGAGTATGTTGTTATAAGCTACTAAAGAATTGATTTCCTTTTTGTGTTGCAGTGTCTCTTTCAGATCATCAATATACGAGCTTATTTGTACTCTAGTGACCCATATGTTGATTATTTAACATACCCTTGCTGCCTTATTGACTCTAAAATCTTTGTTATGATAGGGAAAGAGCATCTGAGGTACTTCAACAGTCCTTTGTATACTGGCTCACGTTCTTTTAGGTAAACCAAAGAGTATTTGCTTCGACGCTATGGATGTTACTGTTTCTGTTTTGATCAGTTTATTTAACTTTTGTTATAATGTTATATGTTTCCTTTGCAATCTTCATACCTCCTGGCTAGATAAAAGATTTTCTCAAAGTCCTAAGCTCTTGGCTGATAGATATTCATAGTTTACAAGTCTCCAATGGGGTCCATTGACTGGATTTTTATAGATGCAGCCCTAAGTGTGACCCGATATATCTTTCCTGAACGAGGATACCAATGGGTTATGGTGTTGTAGTCGGATTTTAGGAATACTTTAAGTTGAGTAGTCGTATGAACTGTAGCAGATGATCTGTGGCCAGTACATCTTTCTATACATCTGGAAAACCAACATGGTTGAGCCAAGGAAGAAGTGAGGCTAAAAAGAAAATGAAAAGAACGCGAGTGCATATCAAAGCATCATCTTCGATCTTAGAATCCCACCAAAAGCCTCATGCCTCCACTGGAACAATTTTCTTTTCATACATTGACCTTTCGTGAAGAGATATGGAAGACTCAAGAGAGAGAGAGAGATAGAGAGAGAGAGAGAGAGAGAGAGAGAGAGAGAGAGAGAGAGAGAGAGAGAGAGAGAGAGAGAGAGAGAGAGAGAGAGAGAGAGAGAGAGAGAGAGAGAGATACCAAGTGTGGTGTGTTCATGTAAGAAAAAGATCAAGCAGTGAACATTAAACTATATTAAAGTTAACTTAAATGCTTCCACCACTAAAGTTTACTTAAAATTAAATATTTATTGTTTTCTTTTGTGCTGTTTTTATTATGGATGAACAATAGAGAGCTTAACCAAGTGTTTTGTTGTAAGAAATGAGATTCACTTAGAAAAGTGAGTCGATGTGTAAATTTGGTTTATTTTTGTTAACAATTTGAATTTTTCCCAAATGGAAAGATAACTAGATAACATGTCTAATACTAAAGATAGTTTAACAAAGTAATTAACTTTTGCTATCATCTGTGATTATTTGTTTCATGTGTAAAAATTTATATTTTCCAGAGCAATGTATTAAAATATACACGTACACCTGGATTATTTACCACACAAAAATTAACAAACAAAACTTTACCTAATTAACAGTTTTTAAAATTAAGAATAATATTGTAAAATGTATTCGGTATGTATTTTTTAAAATAGCCAGAGACCATCACGACATCTCTGCCGCCTTAGATCTAGAACACTCGGTTGCAAAGGAACGATATGAACGACATGAAATAGTGTTAACTCGGCTACTGCAAAGAAAAAAAAATAAAAGAGCTGGCGGCTATCTCATAACCACCGTTGGTTTGTGAACCAGTTGCCAGAAAGGCATATGGGACTAAGAGACTGTGGCTTCACGAGTTAGCAAGAGAAAGAAAAAGAAAAAAAAATCTATTATTCAACCACGGAAATAATTTACATTAAAAGATATATCCCACGCGAAATTACAATTTATAGATATATATAGAAAAGCAAAACATGAACGAAGATATGTAAATTCAGAACATGAAGTGCTTAGTGTCTGATAAATTCATCACAATAGCCAAGTTAACACTACAACGAGCAAACGACTCATATATGGATAGTGTGATGTATATATTAATATTATGGATATGGACCCGAAAATGCATTTGAAACAGTTGTGGATATCATACTTGTGGATGAAAGAGTTGTGGACACACATATCTCTTATACACATTTTTATACACATTTTATCGAACATTTTATATGTATTTTGTGTTTCTTCAATGTTTTGTGTTTCTTCAAATGAATTTGTAATCTGCAAGTTTTTTGCTTCTTTACTTAACATTACTACCAAACAAGTTTTTGATATTCCCAAACTTTTAATTCTTGATCAAAAGTATTCTTAATTAAGTTAAGTATTTTAGTTAAATGTGAAAAACTTTCAGATTTTCAAAGAAAAACTAATCAAACTATTTTATTAAAAAAGCGTTGATCCAACTATTTCAGAAAGAAACTAATCCAATGATTTTAGTTTAATATGAAATGATTAGTGAGTGGAATGAATCAATGATGGTGGTTAGGATGGATAGAATCTGAAATTTTATGTTAGACTGAGTTTTGGTACCAATGTTACTGTGTTTTTGAACATGATTATTTAAACAAAAAAAATTATCTGAAAGAATCAAAATATTTAGAAATCTAACAACCCAGCGAAAAATTCAGTTTCACTAGTTTTTGTCTTGCCAAACATCCATGCAAATGAGCACTTTTCTAAATTGTTTTTACTAATTTTGTATTCTCAAGAAATAGAGAATAATGAAAATTACCGTCACTTTAATTAAAACCAATTTTTTATTAAAAATACCAATTTTATTTTAGAATTCTGCGTATTATTTATTTATTTATTTATAATATGGTTTTCGATGTACAATATTTTTAAATGCTTTGTAAAATTAAATAAATTCATATAAAATAGTTTTTGTTATAACTTCTCGCCCGTAAGGCATGCCAATCCTAGTATATATATATATATATATTTAAGAATTCAGAAAATTTAAATACATTAAGTTTTTCTTCTATTTGGTTCTCATCTCAATCGACTTCCCCATAGTTTTCAAATCCCTCATCCTTTTCTTTACTTCTTTCCCGTCTCCAGATCATGATCAACCCACATCATCTTTTATTAGAGAGATTATTAATAAAAACAAGTCACATGAATTATTAAATTTGGTATAATCTCAATTGTTTCACACGTAAAAAAATATCATATACTCCCAAAAACGACTTCACCTGAGAAATGTTCAAATACAACGTGACTATTGTGCTAGAAATCATGAACGGATGATGCTGGTATACTGCTTCATTTGAATTTTTCATTGTTTTTGATTTGAGTGGTATTTACTTGTTTCTTTTACTGAGACAGTTTTTGTGCAGAAAAGAAATGATAGAAAAGAGGTGATATAAGATTTTGGTCGTTGGGAATTTTTATTATTACATAGATTTTGAGAATTTAATACATTTACAAATTGAATAAGTAAAAAAATAACATAATTGTTTCTAGTACCATCAAATTTCATTATTCAAGTCTCCAAAACCTTTATTCAATTCTCTATAACCACCACAAACTTCATTAATTCTCATCAAGTTGTAGTTTTTCAAGTACTAATAGTGGAATTAAAATTTGTCAATTTAAGTAGGGTAAGAGAGCTGTGTCAAAATCCAAAAACAGATAAGATATTTCTTTATCTTCTTAATCGGGATTTTTTCGGAATATCAAATAGTGAAAGTAAATTTCCAAGAACATAATTTTGATACTTCTGAATTGCATCATCAAATGTAAAAGCTGTTGAGAATTTATACAAACTGTTAATCTCTAAATTCATCCACAATGATGAAAAAATATGTAACTCATATATATAGATATCCAAACAATGAGAGTCCTAGCTGATAGATTTTTGTATAGAAAAGACGTGATGTGATATTTTGTTCAATGAGAGTTTTTTTAGTTATTACGATAGTTTAAATAAAATAGAAAATCAGTCATAAGTATGTGAGAATTTTAAATGAAATTTGAAAATCTTTAAACTAATAAAGACTGAATTTATTAGTATTTTAAAAATCCGCAAAAAAATACAGTAAAATTTCCAAAATATTTCTTCTATTAGTATTTTGAGCTGATTGTAGATGTGTTTGAGAAAGAACTAGAAGTTCCTGAGGAGTTGTTTGGTTTGGATAATGTTGAGAAAAGTTATGTATTGAGTGGTTTTTGAGTGTTTAGCTTCGATGTTGGCTTGAAAGTTAAAGGTTGGGGGAGTGGTTTGTGAGTTGGTCGTTGAACTCCAACTTGGAGAGGCGAAAAGCCTGAAAGAACAGTGGTCAACATCACTGTAAGAAGAGAGAAATGAAGATATTTCGGTAAAGAAGAGATAAAGAGAATCCATCAGGAGAAGGTTTATTTTTATCCTTGCTTTGGTGATGTCAGAAAGAAGAAACCAATGGTTAAAGCTGATGATCCCATCACCACTGAATTTTCATACGCCATAACTTGTTCTCTCAATTTGAATTGATCTTCCAGAGACTCGCGCAGAGAAGACTGAAGACTTTCCCCATTTTCGTTTTTTTTTGTTTAGGGATTTCTTACTCTGTGTTGGTCTTTTTCCTTTTCGAGCAAAGTTATGTATTAAGTATAAATACTAATAGAACATGGTAGTATATATCTTTTTAGGTACATTCAGTTTTTCTTCTATTTGGTTCTCATCTCAATCGACTTCCCCATAGTTTTCAAATCATTCATCCTTTTCTTTATTTATTTCTCGTCTCCAAATCATGATCAACCCACATGATCTTTTACTAGAGTGATTATTAATAAAAACAAGTCACATGAATTATTAAATTTGGTAATCTCAATTATTTCACACCTAAAAAAATATCATATACTCCCAAAAATGACTTCACCTGAGAAATGTTCAAATACAACATACTATTGTGCTAGAAATCATGAACGGATGATGCTGGTATATTGTTTTCATTTGAAATATTTTTCATTGTTTTTGATTTGAGTGGTATTTACTTGTTTCTTTTACTGAGACAGTTTTTGTGCGGAACAAGTTATGTCAGAAAGAAGAAACCAATGGTTAAAGCTGATGATCCCATCACCACTGACTTTTCATACGCCATAACTTGTTCTCTCAATTTGAATTGATCTTCCAGAGACTCGCGCAGAGAAGACTGAAGACTTTCCCAATTTTCGTTTTTTTTGTTTAGGGATTTCTTACTCTGTGTTTGTTTTTTTCCTTTTCGAGCAAAGTTATGTATTAAGTATAAATACTAATAGAACATGGTAGTATATATCTTTTTAGGTACATTCAGTTTTTCTTCTATTTGGTTCTCATCTCAATCGATTTCCCCATAGTTTTCAAATCATTCATCATTTTCTTTATTTCTTTCCCGTCTCCAAATCATGATCAACCCACATCATCTTTTACTAGAGTGATTATTAATAAAAACAAGTCACATGAATTATTAAATTTGGTAATCTCAATTGTTTCACACCTAAAAAAATATCATATACTTCCAAAAATGACTTCACCTGAGAAATGTTCGAATACAACATGCTATTGTGCTAGAAATCATGAACAGATGATGCTGGTATATTGTTTTCATTTGAAATATTTTTCATTGTTTTTGATTTGAGTGGTATTTACTTGTTTCTTTTATTGAGACAGTTTTTGTGCAGAAAAGAAATGGTAGAAAAGAAGTGATATAAGATTTTGGTCGTTGGGACTTTTTATTATTACATTGATTTTGAGAATCTAATACATATACAAATTGAATAAGTAAAAAAAATAACATAATTGTTTCTAGTACCATCAAATTTCATTAAAATAAAATTTCAATCATAATTAATAAGAAGTATGGTGTTACTCATGTTGGTTCATCTCCCTTTTAAGACAAATTATACAATTTATGCGTCTCATAATCACATGATGAATACTAAAACCTTGGGCTTTCAGACCAGCGAACTGTGGGAGTAAAACATTTATTCAATTCTCTAAAACCAACACAANTGGTTCATCTCCCTTTTAAGACAAATTATACAATTTATGCGTCTCATAATCACATGATGAATACTAAAACCTTGGGCTTTCAGACCAGCGAACTGTGGGAGTAAAACATTTATTCAATTCTCTAAAACCAACACAAACTTCATTAATTCTCATCAAGTTGTAGTTTTTCAAGTACTAATATTGGAATTAAAATTTGTCAGTTTAAGTAGGGTAAGAGAGCTCTGTCAAAATCCCAAAACAGATAAGATATTTATTTATCTTCTTAGTTGAGATTTTTTTCGGAATATCAAATAGTGAAAGTAAAGTTCCAGGAACATAATTTTGATACTTCTGAATTGCATCATCAAATGTAAAAGCTGTTGAGAATTTATACAAACTATTAATCTCTAAATTCATCCACAATGATGAAAAATCTGTAACTCATATATATAGATATCCAAACAATGAGAGTCCTAGCTGATAGATTTTTGTATAGAAAAGAGGTGATGTGATATTTTGTTCAATGGGAGTTTTTTTAGTTATTACGATAGTTTAAATAAAACAGAAAATCAGTCATAAGTATGTGAGAATTTTAAATGAAATTTGAAAATCTTTAAACTAATAAAGACTGAATTTATTAGTATTTTAAAAATCCGCAAACAAATAACAGTTAAATTTCCAAAATATTTCTTCTATTAGTATTTTGAGCTGATTGTAGATGTGTTTGAGAAAGAACTAGAAGTTCCTGAGGAGTTGTTTGGTTTGGATAATGTTGAGAAAAGTTATGTATTGAGTGGTTATTGAGTGTTTAGCTTCGGTGTTGGCTTGAAAGTTAAAGGTTAGGAGAGTGGTTTGTGAGTTGGTCGTTGAACTCCAACTTGGAGAGGCGAAAAGCCTGAAAGAACAGTGGTGAACATCACTGTAAGAAGAGAGAGATGAAGATATTTCGGTAAAGAAGAGATAAAGAGAATCCATCAGAAGAAGGTTTATTTTTATCCTTGCTTTGGTGATGTCAGAAAGAAGAAACCAATGGTTAAAGCTGATGATCCCATCACCACTGACTTTTCATACGCCATAACTTGTTCTTTCAATTTGAATTGATCTTCCAGAGACTCGCGCAGAGAAGACTGAAGACTTTCCCCATTTTCGTTTTTTTTTTGTTTAGGGATTTCTTACTCTGTGTTTGTTTTTTTTTACTTTTCGAGCAAAGTTATGTATTAAGTATAAATACTAATAGAACATGGTAATATATATCTTTTTAGGTACATTCAGTTTTTCTTCTCTTTGGTTCTCATCTCAATCGACTTCCCCATAGTTTTCAAATCATTCATCCTTTTCTTTATTTCTTTCCCGTCTCCAAATCATGATCAACCCACATCATCTTTTACTAGAGTGATTATTAATAAAAACAAGTCACATGAATTATTAAATTTGGTAATCTCAATTGTGTCACACCTAAAAAAATATCATATACTCCTAAAAATGACTTCACCTGAGAAATGTTCAAATACAACATGCTATTGTGCTAGAGATCATGAACGGATGATGCTGGTATATTGATTTCATTTGAAATATTTTTTCATTGTTTTTGATTTGAGTGGTATTTACTTGGTACTTTTACTGAGACAGTTTTTGTGCAGAAAAGAAATGGTAGAAAAGAAGTGATATAAGATTTTGGTCGTTGGGACTTTTTATTATTACATAGATTTTGAGGATCTAATACATATACAAATTGAATAAGTAAAAAAAATAACATAATTTTTTCTAGTAGCATCAAATTTCATTAAAATAAAATTTCAATCATAATTAATAAGAAGTATGGTGTTACTCATGTTGGTTCATCTCCCTTTTAAGACAAATTATACAATTTATGCGTCTCATAATCACATGATGAATACTAAAACCTTGGGCTTTCAGACCAGCGAACTGTGGGAGTAAAACATTTATTCAATTCTCTAAAACCAACACAANTGGTTCATCTCCCTTTTAAGACAAATTATACAATTTATGCGTCTCATAATCACATGATGAATACTAAAACCTTGGGCTTTCAGACCAGCGAACTGTGGGAGTAAAACATTTATTCAATTCTCTAAAACCAACACAAACTTCATTAATTCTCATCAAGTTGTAGTTTTTCAAGTACTAATATTGGAATTAAAATTTGTCAATTTAAGTAGGTTAAGAGAGCTCTGTCAAAATCCCAAAACAGATAAGATATTTCTTTATCTTCTTAGTTGAGATTTTTTTCGGAATATCAAATAGAGAAAGTAAAGTTCCAGGAACATAATTTTGATACTTTTGAATTGCATCATCAAATGTAAAAGCTGTTGAGAATTTATACAAACTATTAATCTCTAAATTCATCCACAATGATGAAAATTTTGTAACCCATATATATAGATATCCAAACAATGAGAGTCCTACAGATTTTTGTATAGAAAAGAGGTGATGTGATATTTTGTTCACTGGGAGTTTTTTTTTAGTTTTTTTGATAGTTCAAATAAAATGGAAAATCAGTTATAAGTACGTGAGAATTTTAAATGAAATTTGAAAATTTTTAAACTAATAAGGACTGAATTTATTAGTATTTTAAAAATCCGCAAATAAATAACAGTAAAATCTCCACAAAAAAAAAATAAAGTCTTCAAAACGTTCATGTACCAATAACCATATCAAACTTGTTTGGTAAAAAAAAAATATTTGCTTGGAGAAACGGGAAGAAAACAAAAAGTGAATAGAATACTCATTTTTTCATCAAGAAAATTTGGTGCACTCTCAATTGTAATTTGTCTCATTTTGAATCAAAACAATATCATGATAACACAAGTCTCAAATTACGACAAAATTTAAGGCTCAGCGTTATTCTTAAAATCCAATAATGAATATGAAGACTTGGTGTTATATCCATAGGGAAGAAGCAGCAATAGCTGCCATGGTGGAGATTAACCAATATCTGATTCTCTCTGTATCAGATGAATCAGTAGAATCTCCTCCATCGTCCCCACTTGGAGCTGAACCTTTCGAAACCAAGCCACCTTTCTCAGGCGCAGGAGCAGGAGCCGAGCTTGAACCAAACATTGCTAATGGCAGCAAAACTTGATCCACTTGATACACTGCAAGCTGCTTATCGCTGTAGACAGAGTTAGCCACCGTTGCGCTGACAACTCCCGTGGTGATGTTGACTTGGTTACCGGAGCTAGTGATGTTAAGAGGGAATTTACCGTTTTGGCCATCACCAGCTTGCGTGCGTAAGGGGTTACTAACGGTTTGGAACTGAGGCATGGTCAAGAGTGTAGGAAGGACATGGAACTGAACAAGCTGAACCTTTTGCTGGTCGGATAATGAGTTCAAGGTTCCGGATTTGAGGCTGCTAAATGCGTTGTCGGTAGGGGCAAACACGGTTAGGCCTTGGCTGGAGGAAGAATTGAGCTGAGTGTTGATTTGGTCTGCGGCTTGGGTGCTCTTGAGGAGTCTTATGAACATTGTGAACTGACCAGCCTTTTCTAGGACTGCGGTTATGTTGGTTGGACCTGAAGGAGTTGGAGCTGGAGCCTGACCATTGGTTGTAGCCATGACAAGGAAGAAAATGAATAGATTAGAGGCATTGAATGTTCTTGAAGTAGCCATTGTTGTTTGTGTGTCTTGAGAGGCTTTGGCGTTTGTTATATAGAGAGAAGTAGTCAGGTGAAGAGTAGGATTCTCTTGTTAGTGTGAAGATTATTACTTGTTAACTAAAACAGATTATTTCCATTAAGAGAGACTTGACAAATGATTTTAGGTTAAACTTACAAAAGTTGGTTTGGATTGAGAGTGATAGAGAGATAAAGAGAGATTGCTTTGAAGGGAGAGGTTGGGTGGGTGAGAATTAGATATGAAGAATGAAACTGAAAAGGGTATTGTGATCTGTCAAAAAGCTATGAAGAAGTGTTCTTCAAGCAATGTGACATTTCTAATCAATACTACTCATTATGAGTCATGTGTGCCTTTCATCATGTGATGCAAGAACAATAAAAAAAAGAAAGTAAAATATATATGATGTCACAAAATAGCATTAAACTGCTGTTCCATCTCAACAACATTGACAAATGGATTCAGCTATAAACCTAAAACTAATTCTATTAACTATAACAACAACACTCTAGCTTGAGCAAAGAGCTACTCTACTGCTGCCTGAGACGGTGGTGGAACCACCTGAGTGCTAGCTGGCTCGGCTGCCTGGTGATGAGTATAGCTTCTCCTCCATTTGAAAAACTCGTTAATAGCCGTTGTGCTGGACATGGTGAGTCCAAATCCGATCATAGTGGCTAAGACAATGCACACAACCGGCTGCTTAACCTGCACACGAGTTAATGAGAATCAAGAAGTAGAGCTTTAACAAAGCCAGTTTAAAAAAGACCAATCTCTGAGACATGACATCAAATCTTACAAGTGGAAGGAAAACATGACCGAAAAGGACCACTAAACCAAACTGAATGGTTGCGAATATCCACACATAGTTCCTCTTCACTGCCACCAAAATCATCAAGTAAAGCTCATGTTTAACTTAATAGAATAAGAGAGTATAAGTTCCAAGGAGTTAGTATATTTTACCCATTGTTGTTGATATAACGGATGCAAGAAGGCCAATAATGCAAGAGAAAGGTAAAGCTACTGCAACGGCACTAGATTTCATTTCCATGACCAGAAGCTGCTCGAGAAAACAGAAGTAAGCAAGCATGCTTACAATGACAAGAACTGGCACATCTTGCCACTCGTTTAACCGTGACATCTCGGTACGCTCGGCTGCTCTAGACCGGTCCTGAGAATCCTCCACACGGAGAAGTGTCACGGGGAGATTCTTCACAACTTGTTTGCACACATCACATGTTATGTTCCCTTTGATAGTGAACCATTTAATGGTGCAGGCTTTGTGGGCAAGAGCTAGCTCCCCTTTGCACATGCACTCCATCTTGAAAGCTTCTGAATCTTCTCCTAACTCAACCATACAGATTCTGCACACAGCTTCCTCTTCCGGAACATCTTCTCCACCATCACAGTTGAGTTTACTCTCACTATCCAGCCGTTGAAATGGAGTAGGAATCACACGGAGAAGCCCTAACGGTTGCTTCACATTTCCATCTTTGTCAATGAGTGTTGGGACAGAACGTGAACGGCGAATAGGCAGTGTATGCTCTTGACCATCAAGGGTATAGCTCCTCCCCCCGTGCATTGACTCAGGATTCGAGTGAACCAAAGGGGTTAGAGGTAAAGACTCTGTGTTGTTGGATTTTAGAAGGGTTAAGAGATTAGTGAGAGACCATGTTCTTGGGATGTTAGATACCAAACCGGCACCTTCCTCAATATCTGCATTGTTGTTGTTCCGGTTTCTGAAGGTAAAGACATTCTTGAGATTGGTTCTTCTTGAGGAGGAGGAAGGACCGATTCTAGGACTTGCCATGGGAGAGAAGTTGAACCGTTGAGACACAACACTAGGAGGAGTGAAGGAGCCACGAGCGTCTTCTTGTGCTCTCAGCTCTATATCTAACACAAGGCATCTCCATCTTTCGTGTTGGCTGGGTGATACCTCTCTTGTGATCTCAGTATCCTGAAAAAAAAAAAAACGCAAAGATTATTGTTCAACTGAAACTGGAGACAACTTTCGTTAAATCATTAAAAGGATGAGACTTTCAATGTTCCTTGTCATCAATGAACCAATAGAAAGCAATCTGTTAGAGAGAAAAAACAGAATCCAAGGCATTGATCATAAGTTAAGGCTCCTCACACAAGTGAAACTGAAGACAACTTTGTTAAATCATAAAAAGGCTTAGTCTTTCAATGTTCCTTGATCACTAGTTAGGAGTCCTAGACTTCACACAGAACCAATCTAACTAAAAACAGAGAAGAAGAGAAGCCAGTGAACTTCACTTCTAAAACAAAAGAAAAAGACTCATTTTAATTTTGGAAATTGAGTTAAAAGAGTGAGAAAAATGAATTATACCATTATAGCTGGAGAAATATCATGGGGAGTTTTATGATCATCATCCATCATCATCATCCTGGACAAAACCCAGAAACAAAGAAAAGAAAGAATCTAACGATATTCTTCAAACTAAATAACTTGAAAAAGGGAGAAAAGGCTTTCCTTTTTTGAGTTGTAAAATGAGGGATAATAAACTCTTTCACTTTTGTTTCAATCTTTTAACAATCGGTCCAGTGAGTGATTGCCTCCCGTTTCTCTCTATAGATTAACTTCTTCTATAAAGCTCTGCTTAATTTTGGGGTTGGGCGGTTTTGTTTTGTCCTCATTTACTTGCACATAGACTTCCACCGCATACTTTTGGTAGTACTAAGCAAGTATCTTGTCAAATTGTTTTCTTTTTCTTTTCCAAATTAGTTTTAAAAATCTTATTATTTGAATGGAAAATGAGAATAAGAAAGAGTGAAATCTGTGATTTTTCCTTTTTTTTTCGTTTTTCTAACAAAAATATCGTATTTTTTTTTTCTAACTTTAGTTTGTCATATCATTTGTTTTACAGTATTTTTTGTGGTTGTTGTTTACTAAGTAGATATAAATATATTTTATTTTTTATCAAGAGAACAAAACAAAATTTCAACTTACTCTGATCTCTCAATATGAATACCCAAACTTTTTCATTACCCAATTCATATAAATACTAAATTTTATAAATACTCTAACTAAATTTTATTAAGTTTTTTAATACCCAAACTTTTTCACTATCCAATTTAATACCTCAACTAATAATTTTGCCCACTTTAATATACAAACTTTTATAATTGTGCCCCTTTTAATACCCACTTTGTTTATTTTAATTAACAATACTAATAAGTTTCAAAAAAAAATTAAAAAAATCTCCAAAATCTAAGAAAAAATATTTAAAATTTCTAAGTTTACTCTTAGATTTAAGAAAGAAGGTAAATAAACTCTGGAGAAAATTTAAATGTTTGCAAAAAAAAATTTTGAAGGAAAAAAAAAATAATTTACTTTTTTTTTATTTCAGAAAACAAACTAAATTCAATGTATAAAAATTTAAAAAAATTATTACAAATCTTAATATTATAAAAAAATATTTAATTTTATTTCTATAACATATAATAAAATCAATTTGTTTTGTAAAGTTTAGAAATTTTAAAAAAATTATTGGAAGTTTATTCCTATTGTTAATTAAAATAAACAAAGTTTGGGTATTAAAATGAGCACGTTTATAAAATTTTGTGCATTAAAATGGGCAAAATAACTAGTTGGGGTATTAAACTGGGTAGTGGAAAAGTTTAGGTATTAAAAAACTTAATAAAATTTTGTTGGGGTATTTATATGGAATTTTCCCTAATAACTAATAAGCAGTATCTTGTCAAATTGTTTTTTTTTCTTCCAAATTAGTTTTAAAAATCTTATTATTTGAATGGAAAATGAGATTAAGAAAGAGTGAAATATGTGATTTTTTTCCTTTTTTTTCGTTTTTCTAACAAAAATATCGTATTTTTTTTTCTATCTTTAGTTTGTCATATCATTTGTGTTTACAGTATTTTTGTGGTTGTTGTTATGTTAAGTAGATATAAATATATTTTCTTTTTTATCAAGAGAACAAAACAAAATTCCAACTTACTCTGATCTCACAATATGACTCCATTAAGTCGATTAAGCATCAGCATATCAATTGGCTTTGCCAAAACGTCACTTAGGAGTTGTGGCCAGATTTGGTAATGTCTCTAAATCCATAGAAGGCATGTTACATATATCCTGAAAATTATTTATAGATGAAAAAAATTTAGCATGCAGTGTAGCCACTTTAGAAACAGAAAAGAGAAACAATAAATATATATCCTTACATCGTAATTTTTATAAATGTTTATTATTACACGGATTGTTATTCGCATTTGTTGAAAACTAGACCTTCTCAACCCAACTATGTTTATGTTCGTATGTGGTTATTCACACAAATGCACCGTAAACATAAATCAGCCAATTCATGTGATACAATGACTAGTCTAAAGCACATACAACATGTGGAATCTACACCTATATATATGAAAAACTGAAAACCCATTAATATATCAAAGATTATTTCAATAATAGTCATATGATGATCAAACCGTCAAACATTTAATTAATTTACTCGAATAATTAACTTAACCTTGATGTCACGTGACAACACAATGTTGCAAATCTTAACTTTTGTGAAGCATGTGAAGAACTTACTCTTCGCTACTTTCAATCTTCTTCCCCAACTAAAATTTGAGAAACAATTCATACTTGTGAACATTGGATTTCTTAGGATTTCGACAAAAATTTACATCTCCTTCCGTCAACCCAAATTTCTTGTAAGTAATGTCCAAAATTTGAAATTTTTTGACAATTTTGCTTGGTGTAATAATTTTGTGGTTTGAGTTATTGGGTGTGACAATCTTAATTGTTTTGACTTAAGATATATATGTTCCAATGAGATGTCTATATATTATGTATGATCTTTGATTTGTTTGATGTGTGTGATCTTTGCTTGTAACTTTAGTGATGCATTTTTTGTATTATGCCGATAGACTCATCATCGAATATATGTTAGTGTTTGCAAAAAAGTCAATCATCCATCTAACACAGTTGTAATCTCATCAGATGCTGATTTTGATACAGTTATTGCACAATTGAAGTCTGAAGATCATCACATGGTGTTTTCAATTTTGGATATAGCAGCAGCTCCTTGAAGCAAAGTCGAGATGTGGATTCATCATTTTTACAAAGGAAAAAAAAAACAATTTAGAACTAAGGTGATGACTGATTGTTCAAACTAATAAATTCATATTATGGTTCCAAACTTACTGTTGATTCTTGAATGTTTGTATGTTTGCAGTTGGTTTTGGCAAAGAAGAGATAACCACAAAAACTCATCAGAGCATTAGTAAGAAGACTAAATAATTCTTTAATTGTATATGTTTTATGGATGAAAATGATTCTAATTTCTATTAATAATATTTAATATCATATTTTCCATTTGTGGGTACATTCAAAAACAAACTAATACTAAATATTATGTGTAATACTTTTCTAATTTTTATTATGAGTATCAATTTAATACTATTTTCTTATTACACAAAGAGTATCGTTTTGAATTCTAATGCAACTTATACTTAACTTAATTTCAAAATGGACTGATTTTATAATTAATCATCTAAACAGCAGCAAACATTGAAGACTTAACTCTCCATTCTTCCTTCCCTATTTTGGTAAATGCGGAGTTGCAACAAAATGGATTTTTTTCTGTAAGAACAATCCACATTATACCAGTGCATAGGGCACCTGACAATAAGCATTTGATGAAAGTTATCAAGCACAACAAAAATCATGGTATGATCCTTATCTTTAATGTAACTAGAGTTAATGCACAATCAAGATCGCCTGTAATTAGAAGGATGGTAGCAAACCTGAGAACAAGGTTTGAGTACCTATACATTGACATAGTTATAAAATTATCATACTGATCTCTCTTACCATAATATTCATAAGAGGAGAACAAAACAAAATAAGAATATCATACAATACAATTTTTCGAAAAAATAATGTAACTTACAATGCATTTTAGGTGGTATTGATGTTGGTTTATCTCTTTCCTTTTTAAAATTAGTAATACAATGTATTGTGTCTCATAATCGCATGGTGCATGTTAAATCCTGGGGAATTTTATCATCATCCAACTCAGACAAAATCCATGAAAATAAAGAAGAATTTATCAATCCTTCAAATTAATAACTTGAAAAAGGAGAAGCTTTTCCTTTTTAAGTTGTTAAATGATGATATTAAACTCTTTCAATTTTGTTTAGTCTTTTAACGGTCAGTCCAATGAGTGATTTCCCATGTTTTTATTTATCTTAGTTTCTTCTATAAAAGTGCTTAGTTTATTGCTTAATTTTGGTTCAAAGGTTTTATTTTGTCATTTCTACTTAAAACACGATTTAATCATCTTATACCGCATACTTTTGGTAGTAATTCAAAACTAAGGTAATGATTAACTGTTCAAAGTAATAAATTCATCTTATGGTTTCAGGTTTGTTGTTGATTCTTGAATGTTTGTATGTTTTCAGTTGATTTTCACAAGAAGAGATGACCATAAAACTCATCAGAATATTAGCAACTAAATAATTTTACACTTTATTTGTGCATCTTTTGAATAAAAACGATTCTAGTCTTTGTTAATATTTGAGATCCAGTTTTCTATTTGTAGATACATCCAAAGATAAACTAATGATAAATATTAAATGTTTAATACTTTCTTGATTTCATAAGAAGCATTATTTTAACAATTTTTTATTACACAAAAAGTATTATTTTAGAATTGTAACACAAGTTATATCTATTTAAGCTTAATATAAATTGTTAAATACATTGGTTTTCTAGATAATTTTATTTCTATTAAATTCTATTGGTTAAATAATTTTAACTATTAAAAAGTAAATATATTTCAATCATCTTTTATGATATGAAAATTTTAAAAATAACATTTTTCATGTGGAAACACCATAGGCTATGGTCCATAGCTTATTGGTTAAGGTTTTAAAATTTCTACACCCAAATTTGGGATACGAATAGTTAATTTGATATCATACAACTCTCTTTTGCGGTTATTTATATGTTCTCCATGCCAAGTCAAGGAGTAACTCCTACTTTTTTACTTTGCCAATTAGTTTGACACTAGCAACAAAACACAATTACATTTTTATTATTTGGTAGGCATGTCTAGCATCCCCTATATATTATTTGAAAATCATTTAAAAAAATTTAACCTTAAGTTTATATTAATTAAAAATAAATTCAATCATATGTGGCATATCTCTTTGCCTTCTATATTTAATTTAATACAATTCTAGAGCACCTTACATATACTATAGTTTAAACACATATTTACTAGAAAAATGTTGGTCACATATCTTATTAATATTTTATTATTCATTATTTCCTTTAATAAAAGCTACGAAATTACATATTGTGATTAAAAAATATTGAAAATTAATAATTTCAGTAATAAAGATTTGCTAACAATTTTTATACCCTCTACCACTCTTGTTTGAATATTTTTTCTTAAAATAATTTACACAATTACATTATTTATATAATAAAACATTAAATTTTTCTGTATATACTGTATTTTTAATTTTTTAAAACGGGTATAAATTACTAAATTGTTAAATATCGCAAATAAACTTTTTGTGATCAATGGTTTAAATTTTTATTATAATAAAATAAAAATAATTATAAATACATGAGT